CGTCATATCTCAACTCATTCTCAAGTTATCACACTTTCTATATTTTGAGTTGTGACGTCACAAGTATGAGTTGAGATAATGGCAATAACAAGAAAGTATGATATCTTGGTGAGTATTTAATAAAATTCAATGAAACTTGGTACACTTAGTGGGTGCACTCATATGAATATTTTGGGTAGGTCATGTGGTTGTCATGGCAACACACTAGTCCCCAGTCTCTTCTCTTCCTTTCACACCTTTCCTCCCGTAGACCTCTTGCAGAGGGTGTTTACATGTTATAACTGTATAAACTGATCACAATACCTACACGTATTATAGTAATAAGCGAAAATCGTAGAAATTGCTATTTATTTCGTTGAAAATGGATCATATAGAAATTGGAAGAGAAGGGACTGGGGACGAGTGTGTTGCCATAACAACCATATAAACAAGTCAAATTGTTGACTTTGTTGCACCCACTAAGTGTACCAAGTTTCATTAAATTGTATCAAATACTCACCAAGATATCATACTTTCTTGTTATTGCCATTATCTCAACTCATATTTGTGACGTCACAACTCAAAATATACAAAGTGCGATAACTTGAGAATGAGATGAGATATGACGAAACTGTAAACGTCATTCTTCATCACTCCAGCAGTACTTTTTAGAAAAACAATAAAAAATGAGGTGAAAATTTCGTTGCATAGGCACTTTAAACTATTATTATTTTGACCGTTGGTGCTTTAAATTTGAATTTGCCACGTCGCGTTCCTAGGCAACAACTTTACGGCAGCCTATCTTGGTTCTACGTACTCCAAAACATTTTTATACTTTGTATTTATATTGTTTTTATCATTCGCTACATTTTAGTATAGTTTTGTCAACTTTGCCATTTGGAATAACATTTGACTACATATATAGGCCCTATATCATATTCCACCATTGGATTATAGCGTGTCAGGGATTTCCCCTTAAACTTAATTGTCTCTTAATGGCGTCAAATGTGTGCTTGATGTTATGTTTCTTTGTGATCCTTAGTAGTTCTGAACGTCCCAGCCCTTGGAACAAGACTGCCTTTAAAGATAACGCTATTTACTTCATCTCACAATCTGCATCAAAACCTGAAATTCAAGCATTTTCCGTTCGAAAGGTGACCCATGAACTTAAGGGTGCAAAACTATCTCAAACCATCCTCTTGACATGTAAACTTTTCCAACGTGCCTCACTGGCTATGATACTAATTGCCCTCTCTAGGGATATAGAACTTAACCCCGGCTTCAAATTTTTAAATGACATGAAAAATAGGGGCCTAAAGATTGCTCACTTAAATGTTCGCAGCTTACGAAACAAGATCGACCAAATCCGCCTTGAAGTGTTAAGCGTGAACTCATTGGATGTTCTTACCTTATCAGAAACCTGGCTAAACTCAACAATCTTAAACTCTGAGATACATCTACCCGGATTTTCGTGCGCAAGACGCGATAGACATGGTCTTAAGTCTGGCGGCGGAACTATTATCTACCTGAGGGATGACCTGCAATTTCGTGTTCGGGGCGATCTTAATACTGCAGATAATGAATGCACATGGGTCGAAATCATTTGTAAGAATTGCAAGCCTCTCCTGATATGCTGCATTTATAGACCTCCAGATCAAGACTGTGCACCATTCATCTCGGAACTTGATGATAACCCTTGGCTTATTACCCCTGTGCTACGAGAGAGAAATAAAAGACTTAGTGTTCTTTTTTAAGGCACTGTATGGACATATTGATCTTGACGCGCATAGTTTCGTTTCATTTGTCAACAATGGCCGAACACGACTTAGTCGAAATCCTTCTCTCACACTCAAAATTCCTTTCTGTAAATCCAAAACATTCCAATCCTCATATTTCAACCGGCTTGTCAAGTTATGGAACCACGTCTGCAAAATTCTTCCCTCTACCACCTTTGCCAGCCTCTCCATCTTCAAAAGATCTCTTAAAGCCACTTACGCTAACTTGGTTACGGCAACATTTGACGTGGACATGCCATGCACCTGGACACTGGTGCGGGACTGCCCCTGCCACAGATCTTAAGTAGTTTTAATAGACGGTTCCTCTTATTGTGTTCACTGAATGCAACCACATTATGCTTGTGAGTTTGAAATTATTATGCTAACACATCCGTGAAGCATTCATTATGCTTGTGAGTTTGAAATTATTTTGCTAACACATCCGTGAAGCATTCAAGTGGTTGTGTTCATGGTGCATACTAATAGGGGGAAGCGGCTTTTATATATTTGTATTTTATGTATGTGTGTATTTATATTTATGTACGTATTCGCTGCTTCGGGGTTTGCACCTTGCATGGGACTTCGCGTCTCGTTTGTGCTTATGCCATTTGAGTTCATATTAATTATACATAATATTAATTATATATAATTATATATAATATTAATTATATAATGTAATGTTCTCAATAAATATATTTGAATATTGCTTGTCTAAGATAGATCTGGATAAAAGTGAATTGATTTTATTAGGTGATTTCAACGTAGATCAATATAATGGCTGCAAACAGAATAAGCAAAAACTTATGAACTTTGCACGTTCCGTGGATATGTCTCAAATTATAACAGAGCCAACTAGAATAACTAGCACCACTCGGTCATTGATTGATTTGGTTTTCGTCAATAATCAACATCGTATTGTCGACTCCGGTGTAGTTTCGTTATCCTTGAGTGATCATTCTTTAGTTTACTGTGTAGTAAAATCAGGTGTAAAAAAGGCTCCCCCTAGAACAATTGAATACCGCTCGTACAAGTCCTTTAATGCAAATACTTTCATTCAAGACTTGAATAATGTACCTTGGCACGTTGTCGAAAATGAAAGCGACATTGACAGTGCAGTACTCATGTGGAATAAATTGTTCTGTGACATCGCCGATGCCCATGCACCTGTCAAACGTCGTCGTGTAAAAGGCACACAAGTACCATGGATGAACAGTAAGATTAGCGAAGCTATGCA